TACAGGCCTTTATCAGAATGCCAACGTGGCTGTGAAAACACCTTCTCTCTCTTGAGTCATGGTGTTTATTGCATCCACAGCCATGCAAGTGAGAGGGAGAGTTCAGTTTTGACTAATTTTGATGGGCATGGCATAAACTATGGAAGTTCAGTTTAGAAATTAATAGGGTTCAATCTTCATGTGTGCATGACAACATACCTTATGAAATAGGAACAGAGAGATCTTTAAATCCACATTAACCCATGCACATGCCACACCTGTATTATCCTGTGTGGGAGTGCATGTGTATAGTGCTATTAATTAAAATTGCTTGGTCAGATGCTATAGAGAGATTAGTTGTCACATTGTGTTAAAGGCATCCTTGGCATATTCCTGAGAAGGGGCTGGACTGCCTGCCGTCCTCTCATCTGTTCATGTGCCATGGTTATACCCAGCCAGAATGACTAATTGGCAGATTTTGTGGAACAGAAGCCCCCCTGTTATCGGGAAGTTATAGGCTCCTAATGAAGAAGAAAAAGAAAGGGGACATGCATGCACTGAGCCGTGGTCACTGGTTCCAAGACAAAAGCTCTGCTGGGCCTTTTTCTGGGTGGCAGCTGCTGCCTTGTTACACTCAGCCCAGATTGCACTGTTTGGCTAAATGAATGGTAGAGAACCAAACAGAAATGCAGGATAGAAAGGAGGCTGATGTGTCAAAAGGAGTCAGACTACTACTACCATATTAGCCTGAAGCACTAAACAAGTGGCCATTGGGGGTTCTACTCCTTTGGGGCCCTGCTTCCCGTACTCACAGGCATGCCTGTTTTCCCACTCTGGCTCTGCTGTGGAGAGGAAGTCTTGAAGCAATAGTGTTCCCTCAAAATCTCACATACCAGGGCAACAAAACCTCAGGAGAAGATAACTTATCACCTAATCCATCCCTGCCAGGGGCAGATCTGAGGGGGGTTGGGGGCAGTGATGACATTGCACCCTCTTTCAACTCTGTAGGGAACATACAGTGAACTTCCCACAGCTGGGAGCTCTCATCATGTGCTGCAGGTTGCACCCCCACCTCTCTCCCCAACTCACCCAGGCTGCACCAGTGAGCTCTCCACTATGCCCCCTATGTCCCATCCCGTCCTCCCCCCTCTTCAAAATTCTAGCTCTGCTTCTGGTCCCTGGTGTAGAAGCTCGGAGCGTTCCCAGTCACAAGCCTGTCTCTGCAGTAAGTAGGCATCTTGCTAAAATAGGAATTAGCAAGTACTTTTCTTTTTTAGCACTGCTGAATGCTTTTCTCCTACATCACCATCCTCACATTCAGCTGGAAGATTAATTAAATCTCAGACCATTTTGTTATTTACATTCCATTCTACCCGTTGTCACCTTAGTTCAAGGAGCTTCTGCCCATCTCCTTCCCAGTACTTTTTAAAAATATCTAGTTTAGAGCTTGGCTGTTTGGACATTTGATGCTCTTATTGGGGGTGTACAAATGGCTAGCTAACATTTACGTGTCTTGCAAAACACAGACTGATCTTCAGATCACATTCAACAACATTCCTACCAATGCACCTTTGAGTTGTAAAAGGTCTGGCTTTTTCTTTCTATTGCCAATCCCAACAGTAGTTACGTATATAAAAAGTACGCCTCTATTGGAAGCCCCAGTATCTTTTTTCTGCACGCTTGCATCGTTCCCAAAATTTCCATGGGCTTTCTCGAAGTTGCATACATGATACCTTTTGGTAGCTCCATTTGCTCACTTTGAGAGTTGATTCATGTTCCGTCTCCCAACTTTTATGCCTGCCATTCTGTCAGTAAATTGCATCCATAGCTAGCCTGATTTGGCCCCTGAAAGTGCTCTAGAGCCATGACCAAACAAGTGCATGGCTGCAGAGCACTTTAAAAGGGCCTTATCTCATGAAATTCTGAACCCTTATTACACAAGCGTTCAGATGAAAGCACTTCAAAGCAGAGCACATCATTAACTTGTCTGCGCTTGTCAGGAGCAGGACTAGACTGTCGCAGCCCAACACTGCTCCCAGTGCTCTTTTCAGAATGGGAAGGGGAGAAGGGAGTGGAGGGAGCACATTCTCAGGGTTACCCAGGCAGTGCTGGAAGTGGGGTGGCTGGGGAACCAGCCACTCCCCTACTCCAGCATGGTCGAGGAAATCTCAGAATTGAACTCCCTCCCCTGCCTTCTCCCCCGCCCATCCTGAGACAGCATGAGATGGGGGGGAGAGGGGAGCCA